CTCCCAGAATTCCCCAGCCAGCATTCTGGGAGTTGAAGTCCACTCATCTTAAAGTGGCCAAGTTTGGACAACACTGATCTACGTGGTTGCCAAGAGGCGACACCAACTTGATGGCTCACAATCAATAATCAATCAATCAGTGGCTTTGCACTCTTGTATTGGGGTCAGAAAATAATACCATTTGGTAGAACTGGGGAGCGATACAGAACATTTTAGTAAATGGAGACGGGCTATTTGCTGTAATCCTATCTCTGTGGTTCACAAGAGATGGTTGAAGATGCTGGAATCGGTTTATCAGCTCTGGGCTGCAAAATTGCAGATAACCGGAAAATGGTAGCAAAGAGATGTAGAAAACTCTAAACTTTTTCCCAGTGGCCATCTTGGGGGAATTCAGTGGTCTAGATCTGGTGGCCCTACACTATCCTGATTAGATGATGGCTTAGAAGAAACATGCAATGCTGTTAACAAGAATTAAATCTGGGAAACCCCTGAAGTCCAGGTCGCCTTAATGCTGGAAAGGCATTTCCGTTCTCAGTGGTGCCCAATTCTTGTTAATGGCTTTACACCTTCCTTCTGAGGAAGTCACGACAGAATCCTCTCCTTCATCTTGCCTGTCTAAGAGCCCTGCCCGGTAGGCTAGGCTAAGAGAGTGAGGGAAAGAAGGAGGAAAGAAGAGATTCTGTTTATGCCAAACTATAAACTGTGGTTTATAAATATCAGTGGGAGGCTAGTCAAACCTTATTCTTGGCATGCTGAGAAAGAGATGGGTCATATGCATCCAGTGAACTTGGGGGAGGGCTTGAATGCAGGTTCCTCCCACCCCTCACCCCTGCCAAATTTCAGCCTGTTTCAGATATTACCCTGCGGTTCCTTTTGTTTTGAATCAGCACGTTGGGCAGACAGCCCATTGCGATTTCAACAAACCACTGTTAAACAAGCCTGGTTTAGGATAATGTATGAGAGGTGCTCTCTAGCCTCCCAGGTCTTCAAGGCCTTGCAGTGAGGCTATTAGGAGCCAGCATTTTCAGAAGAAGGAATCACCAACATTTGCAATGTTTGAGTCTTGGCTCCTGGCCTGGGGGAGCGAAAGGGGAAAAAGCCGGGGCCCAGCAGGCATCTCCCAGCCAAGCCGGTCAGCCAGAAGGACAACACCCCAACTTGCTTCTGACCAGTCCAGTCACATAACTTGGACCTTGTGCCGAGCATATTCACAGGACATACCTAACTGGATTGGTCACTCCCCATGGGAAGTGATTTATCTTCCTGGTTCTCACTTCCCTTTGAAACAAAGATACGAATGCCAACACCAAGTGAATGATCCACAGGGGCCCAACCAAATCAAAATTTGCACCCCCTCGGTGCCCATGGGGTAAAAAAAGTGGCCTGGCTTTTACTGTTATTCCGGCTTTCATTTTCTGGGTCAGGAGAATACGAAATACGGCACATCTCAGATATATCGAACCAGGATACCAGCTGGGTACTCGCATCCACAAAAGCTAACCAAGATAAATGCTAACCAAGTTTAACATGGGGTGGAAATGCAGCTGCCTGGCCTTCAGTTAAGCCAGTTAAGCTCATTAGCAAACTGTGGTTTGCTTTGTTTTGACTTAGCACAATGTATGAGCTGAGCCACTATGGTTTGTAAACCATGATTGGCGGCTTAGTGTGCGGCCTGACTCTAGCCTCTGGTGCTGTATTCATCAGGCCATTGTTTAGCAGATCACGGCTTAGCCTGTTGCTGCTTTGGCATTATGTATTCAATGTGATAGCAATTTGTATCAGTGAGTAAAAGACTGTTGGAAGAACGCGAGGGGGGCACGAGTCCTCGATGATGTGACTGTTGG